GTACTCATTCAAGTGTATAGGTAGTACGAATGTTATAATATAATATGTATTATATATTATATTATAAAAGGCGTATCATAGTATGTATTGGCAATTAACGAAGACAGTATTGTTTAAGAATGAGAATAATTTCGTATTATTATTAGAACTATCATTCTATTTTTGTTTCATAGTTATTAATATAATACTTTAATAGTGTAATACATTAATAATTATAGACTTATAAATATTGGAGTTAAAAAATTGTTTATCTTACTGCTTATTCTAAATTACAATATCTAACTGAAAATGTTCTACTTTAACCTTATACATTTTTACACCATATCTAGTGAATAGTATTTATTTTTTTTAAATTGATAAAATTGTGAATTCAACTACCTACCTATTTGTAGATACCTTTTTTTTTTTTCTTATTATCGACGACGCTGCCGGAACTGCTTGCGCATTACGTCAACAGCGCCGCCATCGTTTATTATACACTAAAAATGATAATGAATAATTACAAACATGCATACAATATTAACAAATACCATTTTCCTTTGATGAGCCGTTGTGCCGACTTCTCGGGCCGACCGGAGTCCGCCACCCTTGCCATCCCGTTCCAGATTGCCCCTCTGTCCGCGGTCCTCCTTCCGTCACTTCATAGCTTGTCTGCTAGGCTTCTTCTGCCTGTCTGGCCCTCTCTTCCTCTTCTTTGAGAGTCAGRATCTGTTCAACCATCTTGTAAAATTTGTAGATACCTAAATCATTAAAACGTTAAAACGTATTATATTGTTGCTATAAATAATGTTTGAGAATAAAATTTACATAAATCAAAATTTAGCCGTTACAAAACATAATATATTTTTGACCATAAGGCCTTCTTGTATTAAGAAAATCATAAATAAACTGAATTTCTGATAAAAATTTTAATATTGTATTATGTTTCATCACTTCATAATTGTTTTTTTTTAATGTATACCTCAATACGTAAAACAAAAGCGTATAAATTATGAGAAAATTAACAAAATTATACTGAATTGAGTTTTGACAAATCACCAATGCAATAAAATAACCGCAACTTTAAATAGTAAATATTATAGAAAAAATATTTTTTATTGAAATAAAACACTATTTTCAATGATACATCRGATAATTGAAAAATACTTCTAGAATGAGCACGACACATTTTTCATGTAACCATATAACCATGAATTACCATTTTATTCATACAATTATTAAGAATTATCAAAATTTTAAACGCTCTTTTGTGCAATTTGTATTTTTGAGTTATCGTTGATTTGTTTATGCTATATACGATATATGTATTTTGTATAATCTTATATTAATTTATTATGAAATAACATCGTTTAGATCATATTATAATTTTATGTACAATGATACAAATTGTCAAACCCGGAATGTCGTCAGACATAGATAAATAAAAAAGCGGGTAAGTGACTACCACTCTGCTGTACATTAGAGGGTGGGGTGGACCTCTGATTAGTGTAGGTTAAATTTTAATGGAATGATAGGTATCATTGTATACGAAAAACGATTCTGAATGGAGATGATTTTACAGTCTAGGATATATTATATTTAAATATTGTCATATATATTCTATTTTGAAACAAATATTTTATTTTTCAATTRGGACGCATTTTGCATGAGGCACGGTTAACTAATTTTTCCAAAAATGCATGTAGTTATCATAATTCATAATACCTCAATACCTTATATTATCATAGATATACATATACCGGGTTTGAGGATAAATCGTTATCGTTACGTGATTTTCTTATAATGATGCTTCGAGTTTTCTCTATAGCTACTTGAAGGAAAACTTAGTGTTGTATTTTTAATCCTTAGTTATAAACACAAAAAATTTGATGATTTTTAAACTTCAAAATTGCTTGCAAATTTTCGCATTTTCTATAAACGCTTATAAAAAAAAATTGTGACAAACGATTTTTAATTTTTTTTTAGCTACAATAAGAACAACTCATAAGGAACCTTGTATTAAATTTTGAAGTTTTTTTGGTCATCCAAAATTTTTTTACCGATAYTTCAAAAATAAATTCTCATAAAAATTGAAAATTTCAGTGGCCTATAAATAACTCAAAAGAGTAAAAAAAAATTGAAAATTAAAYTGTATATAGATAACGCTAACATAAACATTTGGTGAAAATTTCAAGTATTTACAGTGATTAGTTTTTGAATTAAAACCACATAAAAAATCGATTTGCTCAAAAACTGGTTTTGCCTAAAAATTCCCGTTTTTCTGTCACTTTTATTTTGTTTTTTTCGATTTTTTTTTGAAAAGTGTTGGAAAATGTTTACTTTTGACCTCTATAATGCACCAAGGATATTCACTTTTCCATCGGAAACCACCCCCAAAGTTTGAAATTGAAGCATTATTTCGACTAGCATGCTGTTCACAGACACAGACACAAAAAAAACACACACATCATTGTAAAATCAATACATTCATTACTCCTTTCAGAATCTAAAACGATCGCACGTAGTTGACTTCATTGCGACCAGTAGGTTTAATATACCTTTACATAGCTGTACTTATACACATTCCATTGTAGATTATGTTACAACTGCGATTTATTATGTAAAATTTTACAAACATTCAAAGTTATAGGCTTGGTGTTCAATGTAGTTATAAATATTAATACATTTACACGTACTAATTATGGCAGAAACTTTTCGGACGAGAAGATAGAGTACATATTACATGATGATATATACGACATTGGTTATTGTTGTTTTTAATTAAGTACCTTCATTACTCATAACTCTAACATATTGTGATCGAATCTATAATATATCCATCATCGTGCTCCATATAATATAGTATATTGTATTTAACTAGGCTGCCCCGGTGAAGGTTGATTATAAATTATAATATATGTCTATATAATATCAATATGATAGATATTGGTTGGCGTAAGAACAGCAATATAATAATTATCGTGTTGTCATGATTAATATTATATGAACGATTGAATGAAACAGACTCCATGTGGGGTGTTGTATACATAATTGTCTTTCGGCCTCCAATTTGAGGAGAAAAAAAAATTAACCAACAATTAGGACGACAGCTTTACTGTCCTACGATGTATACCATGATAAGCACCGCGCGTATCGTCGTCGAAGTCTCTTAGTCAATAATTGTGACCATAAACGCAAAAATAGTTTTATATCGTGGACTGGTTGAAATGTTATTTTTTTTCTCTAAATTGCTTTTTATTTCATGCATACCCACACACTTATCAACAGCCACTTACTATTACGTCATCTTCGCCAATATATTATGCGCTCGTTATATTTTTTTACTAAACGAATTCAATTTAATTTTTTTTAACGCAACGATATGACGTATAAAGTTACAGACGGTGTTTGAATGTCCACGTGGTCATGTGCAAAATATTTTACGGAATAGATTTGTTTTTTAAGTTATTTTTAACATATAATATATACAAATGTAATACACCTTATTATTTTGATCTTATAATTTTTACCGACAAAATATAAATTTTTTTACTACTAATTATGATATGCGATTTTCATTTTCTGGATTCATACTTATACCCAAACATTAATATCTGTATTTATATATTATATTGTGCCGCAAATGAATTGAAAAACAATAGTTATTTTTATTTCATAAAGTAATAATTTAAATCCGTGAAAAAAATAAATATGTGGTTTAAAAAAAAAAATCAAATTAAAATGTACATCGTAGGTACATATTGATTCTTGGTGATTGAACTTGGCACTCATAAATTGATGGTAAACGGTGAGGTCAATTCAGGYGGTAAACAGCTAAATTCTCAGTTATAAAAAAGAGCGTCTTTCATCACGGTGAGTCAGTTAAACAAACAAATTCTTATGACGTTTAGGTATTATAATTACATCCGACAGGTATTGGCATGCACTTTGCGAATGTTAATTATTTAAGCAGTTAGCACTCATTAGTCATTATTTATTTTGAGTTTTTAAAATATTTATTTTAAATAATTTAAAGTCATTACAAAATAACATTTTTGAAAAAAAATATTTTTACTATTTTGTATTATTTTTAAGTTTTTTTCTTCTTAAAATTTCAAGGTTCATTTTTTACTTCATTATAAGAATATTATTATTATTATTATTATTTTTTATTTATTAAACAAAATATACGCCCCAACTTTCGGGTTTATTGGCGTTTCAAAATACATTTTATAGTTTACTTAATTAATATTATTATTCTTATCATGAATGTTTATTATTTATTTATCGTGAATATTGCTCCTGTTGGCTGTTGTCTTTCTTCTACTTAATAGTTATACGGTTATACCAGAAATGTATAGCATAGATTCAAATGCATGCATATAAAATTAATCATTTATACGACATTTCATGCATACATTCTAACATTCATATCGGTCGTATAAATATTTAACAGTTCCTTAAACATTAAATATAGTGTCGTCTTTGTAGTTCTTGATTCATTGTATATAATTTTAATGAACAGTTAAATTTGTAAATTTTTTTTTGCAACCAGACGTTGATTTTTTATTATTAGATGTGTATATATGATAAAATCAATTTCACAGTTACGTAGATTTATTTTGAAATAAGAAAGCATTTAAAAATGACTTATATTTATACATACTGCCGTCGTAAGCAAAAACGCGTTAGTCCCAAAAAATATAAAAATGAGGTAAAAACAAATAAATAATTTTGAAATTCGGCTTGTGTAGATGAATATGCCGTATGCCTGAAATATCACTCCAAAAGTATATTATAAGCAATAATCAAATAATTAAAACGCCGTAAATCATACTATCTAATCTATACAAAACCACGTTTTTCTTAAAATCGTTCAACAGTGACTTGCGTCATTTTTACTTACTAAATTTAAAAACTATAGTTCTGAACGCCCTGATAATGATGAAATAACAATTTTTCATAAAAAAATTATTTACGTAGGTATATTAATAATTAAATGTTTGTAATTTATGTTTAAGATAAAATATGACTACACAAAACCACTGGATGCGATTGGCGAGTCTTGTAAAGACTAACAATAATATAACAAATAAGAATGAAAAAAATCGGCTTAGTGGGTCAAAGCTGTTGGCTGACATGAGAAATGGTGAAAACCTTTCAAAATGGGAACCAGAACTCTGTATAAAAATGTTACAGTTACCTGGCGTTGACAATTATTTGGCAATCAAAAAATTGATAAAAAAAGCTGACAAGTAAGTGACATTACGTTTTTAATATCTATAGGTATTTTAGGTATTTCTATTATGTCGAGCATTAAGCGTAAACCTTTTTTAATTTTTATATATAATCACAACAGATATTTCATTTAGATAAATATACCTATACACAATTATATATTTATAATAGAACTTAAATGAATTGCGAATGTGAAGTGATCAAAATATTTCAATAATATTATTAGATTACACCATATTATTTATTATCGGTATTTATATTATTATCATTTTTTATCAAGACAAGTTTTTATTTTATATTATGAACTGCATATACAGTTATACCTTAATATAGTTGATTATTCGCAGTCATCACGCAGAATCTTAGTTCGATTAAGGTTTTTACATAAGATTAATTACAGGCCCAAAACATTATCTCCATTTTCGTTTATTTTGCTAAATAGTTTCTTGTATAAGTGGTTAAAACAAATTATAGAGTTAAATATCAAATTTAACTTTCGTATAGAAAATTTAACCGAGTCATCTATAGATTTTCCTCAGGCTGTGATAAACGTGTTAATAATTGATAAAAGATTATGACAGACGTTTAGCAATGTTTTATGTCAGAAAAAAAGCTGAAACTATGATAGGTACTAGAGTCTATTGAAAATGACCAATAATGAACTTAAGTAGGTACTTTTTGTATTGATTATGATGATAAATAAAATTTATTTTTGTAGAAAAAATACATTTAGGAGGAAAAAAGCTCTAGAACTACTTCTGTATACGCCACTGTAAATATTATTGGGTATGGTCAGGTCACCACCAATAAACATGGAATCTAAGCAAAATATATATTTTATAACACTTACAATATCGGTCATATTATATCCATAAAAATATTATGTACCTACTGGTGGGGCTGTAGATACTATAATTCACAAAATAACCATAGAATATATATGCATTTATGTCCATAATGAAKTATACAATTGTCAATTATTATGTTCAAATGAGTTAAAACTACTTATTTAGTTTATTTTTACTACTTATACATAATAATACATTAATGAAGTTCTAAAATATATAGTATTTCAGCTAAATATTGCATTATAGTTTAAGAGGACGTGATACTCGCATGTGTTGTCTCCGTCTTACAAATTCGTAACATACCAAATTTAACGTTCAGCAGATCACGTTTAACTCCATTAGTTTAAAAATTAGAGTAAATTGACCTCTTATAAAATGTAAAGGTAAGAATATTATTTGAACGACCTCGTGGGCTTTTTTCTATATTTTAATTTTGAAGCAAGTTATAAGTATTTTAAGATGTACAATTTTAGTACATTTATCATTTTAAAATATTTATAACTCCCTTCAAATCAAAATATAGAAAAAAACCCACGAGGTTATTTAAATAATATTTTACCTTAACATTTTATAAGAGATAATTCATTCTAATTTTTGAATTAACGGAGAAAAACATGATCTGCTAAGAGTAAAATTTGTTATGTTACGCAATTGTGGTTTTAGTTCTGAAAAATAGTAAAAATTTATTAACTATTCAAAACATAATGTAAATTTATTTCGCAATTTTTACATTTTTGTTTGTATAATTTTTAAAACTATATTTTATAATGGTAAATATACGTCAAGGGAAACCAACCATAAGACTTGTTAGTAGGTGTTTGATAATGAGATATATTTTTTTCGGACCTCAATGTAAGCATAGAATCGTGAACAGTCAAATAATAGATTAAACACATCGAACGAGGACACGTTATAGTTAATAATACATCATTAATTTTTTTTTATATATATATGATATTCAATCTCAATAAAGTCATTACTCATTAATACTATGATATTAGAAAGTACTTCCTACTCAGGATTCCTACTTTTAAGTCTATGCTTTTTAAAATAATACGCTTATCTCATTAATATTTTAATTAAGATTAAATTAGACCTTCGTATTGTTTTGGTTTTTAAACCATTACTTTTTAAAACCAGCAAAATATTGTCATAACGAAAGCATACAAACATCTATACAAATCGTCAAATTATGTTGCATATACAAAACCTTTTAAGGCAACACGAATACATTATTGTCCCAATAGACTAAAGAACCATTACATATTGTTTACAATATAGTGTGTCTAAAAAGTCTAATCTATCAAATAAGTAACCAGTAACCACTTGAAGATTTCCAATTTACAAGTGCTGAATAGTCAATAGTGTTTACATGATTATCACAGTTTTGGAATATTGAATATATAAGATTGTAATCATAATATTATTGTAATAAATAAAATAATACAATAATTTACATTTACTATTTTTTATTTAAATTTATTGTTTGTGAATAGTATAATAATTGATAATTAAAAACTATTTCTTACTTTATCTTTACCATAACATTAAGCTGTTAAATTATCATCGTCAAGATTGGTGCTTGGTTGATTTTCATAAATTTTTACATGCCTACCTTTTTTATTTATTTGATGTAAAAAAAATACCAGTTAATTGAAAAATTATCAAACCAGTATCCCAAAAAATAATTATGTGATAATCAATGTAATCAATGTGAAAAATGTTTGACTTTTGAATAGCTTGGGTGACGCGAGTTACAAAGTAATTAGAAATAAAAGAAATCCCAAAAATTGGAAGTACCAACAAATTAAAAGACAAAATATTTAAAATATTGAAAGACTGGTACACTGATTGAAACCGGTATCAACCTTAATGCTAAAATTAAAAACATAACATTAAACAATTTAGTAAAAAAAAAATATGTAGAAAATACGTTTTATACAGTTATTACTTATTATACTTCTATAATATGTTAATGTGAAACGGTGGTACTTTCAGCAATAACGTCGGTGCGAAAATTTCCATGAACAAAGTCATTTATTTATAAATTATTGTTTTTAATGTTTTAAAATATTAAAATAGTTTAGATAAGAAAACTCTTTGCCACGATTAAATATGACCGATATTATGCATTGAATTGGACAATTGGAAAAGATAGCAATTGTCGTATGATTGCGTGATCGTGTTTGCTGTTAGGTATATTAGAATTATATAGTTGTGTTTACCTTTTTAATTTAAGATTCAAACTATTATCAAGAAAACAAGCTATTAAAAGAGAAGTATATTATTTGATACACTAGGTAGTGGTACCTTCTTAATTTATGGCTAAATAGTTCTACGAGTTGGACTTTCGATATCATATAACGTACACATGACCCACACGTTTTATTTAATTTTCTTCATTTGTTCATTACTTTAGGAAAAGTAGTATATTGAAATTTATGAGAATGTCTAGTTATGCTTGCGGAGTTTAGAGGATGTGAAAACAAAAGAATTGGTTTTAAGAATAAATATTTACAATGGTAAGTTTAGATATTTTAGATATTTATTTTAACATTTATTTCATGGCTTGTATGTATTCGCTTTAAGGTACCTATATAAAAACCAAATTTCATCTTTACAAAATAAGTTTTGAATCAATGACACATCATTTTTTAAGATAACAGTAGTTTTAAAAATGTATAACATAAAAGTGTATCTCATCAATGTATTCGATGACTTAAATAATTAAATTACTAAAATAATTTTTAGTTTTTATTGGTATGATCATTTCAATACTGTAATATACATAATTGCAGAAGACATGGCAATAGGTACATACGGTATTTTTATTTTTAAACACTAAATTAGTGAAATTAAATAACAAAATGAAAAACTTTAAAATCGATACTTTTTGTATTGTTATTTATATCATCATTCATCACCTTTATTGGAGACCTAGACCTAAAATTGGGATCACTCTGTGTTATGTATTTGTAGATATTATAATATGTTTAATATAATGATTATTATAACGCGTTTATAATTGATTTATTACCATATTTCTTTTATAGTTTATAATTTCCATTAAACTATTGTAAATATTGTGAGTTTTATTTATTTTATATTTTCATAAATTCATTTAAAATAATTCTATTTCTATTTCTAATATTATACCATATTATTGTAAGATTAGCTTGATTTAATATCAAGCAAGTGTAAATAATAAGTACAGGTATGATTATACGCCTCGAAAATTTGGTTTTGGACTGGCCACTTTACCGTTCTAAATTTAACTAAATTATTTAACTAACTTAATTTAATCCCATCCATGGCAGTAACCTACTGTACAGCAGAGCGACATCCACGACTTACCCGCTTTTGTATATTTGAATGTTATTATGTTAATAATAATATTATTTCTGATAGAAGTTTAACGTTTATTGAATTTATTTACTATTTTTTTTTTTATTGATCCATAACAAAAGTTAATTGAATTGACTTGTCTTTTTAAGAATACTTAAATTTTACTTATATTAAGCTTGAAAACATTTTTATTTTACATTATCTTATACAGAGATAATCCCAGTTGGAAAGTTATGACACCAAACATGTATTAAGTTTTAAATATTTAAAATGTAGCTTGACGTACAATATAATATATTATATATATATATATATATATATAGACATATAGTATTATAACAATTTCCTATTATTTGTATTTATTTATTTATATTAGTAATTACACTAATTTGGTTGATTGCATATATGTAATAAATGGTGATTGATTGGCTTACATTTACTATAAGTCTTGTCGGAATTATGAGTAATATTGTATAATATACACACCGTTTTAGGCGATGAGTCATAAAAATTACTTAATCCTAAGTTTAATTCTGTAAACATGACGATGGTCCTAGTAGTGAGAGCACTAAGAGCTGAAGATTACTGCCACATCGTCGTGAAAATACGCATATTCGCTCATCAGAGTAAATATTTATTGCGGATAGATGTGTTTCGTTTAAAATACATAATCACTCTAGTTAATATATAGTTACTCAATATTTCATGGATGGTAACCAGACCTTAAAACTGGTAAAAATGTATAAACCAGTTAAACAAATATATATTTATTTATAATAGCATATTATTATAAAAATGTATACATTTAATGCTATGTTCCGTAG